ACTGTTTGGTAAAGAATGTTAGCTTTATAACTAGTTTCTCCTTGTTCATTCACAACCACAGTTATTTACAGAAATTAAAAATCTTTTTTCAAGGACCTTTAAATTATGTCTTTGTTTCTGCTGCCAGATAATTCATTCATTTGGTGTTACTGTATAATCACTGTTCCTATTTGCATTAGTAACACAAATATAGCAGCTATTTTGATTCCTATAAGTAATAGACACTGACTATTTATGGTACCAGTTTAGGTATGCTATGCCTGCGTGAGTGAAGTGGAACCAGATAATGAAGTCCAAGGAGAAGAAGTAACTGCAAAGTGGGCAGATTGGTTCTGCATTTAATTGCATGTTTATTTCTCTAGATAAACTTTTGAGTTGTACATAAATGAACACTAAAGCATTAAGCACATATGTTATGGAACCACACACCATAAGAGGATTTGAGAGGCAACCTCTTGGGCCTCACCTACCTAAACTGAGTGCCAAACTGCCCATGATTTTAAAGCCACAAAAGCTATGTCTTTTTTATTTTTTATGCTAAAGAAAGTGCAAGTAACACAGTCCAAATGAACACCTGACTGTGGATAAATAGGGACATTTTAACCTTTTGCCTTCTCTATTAAATTGGATGGATCACTTTTTTCATAGCAGATATTGTCTGCAGTTGGTCCTCAATATAGATCGGTATGACAGCTCTGGGAAAATAATCAGGAAACCAGTCTAGTGGTTATTAATACATAGTATATGCATACTGAAGTTACTGAAGTGGTGAATAGCTTCTGCCTTTTACAATCAACTGTCAACAGTAAAGGAACAAGAGTCAAGAAATATGCCACAGACTACCTGGAAAAGTTATTCAGATACTGTGATGTGTCTGTAGCTACAAAGATCAGCATAGTGCAAGCCATGGTATTTCCTGTGACACTCTATGAGAGCAAAAAATTGAAGAAGCAGGATAGGGAAAAATATTGACACTTTTGAACTTTGGTGTTGGAGAAGACTCCCGAGTACACCGTGGATAACCAAGAAAACAAAGAAATGGATCATCGAACAAATCAGCTTGAATTCTCACTCGAGGCACAAATGATCAAGCTCAAATTATCCTACTTTAGACACATTATGTGAAGATCTAGAGAGAGTCTCTGGAGAATGCTCTAGGTGAAAGGAAAGAGAAGAAGACGATCAGCAGCAAGGTGAATGGACTCATTTATAGTGGAGATAGGTACACTGTTGGAAGACCTTGAAGACCAAGTTAGGAACAGATCATCATGCAGAAAATCTATGTAGTTGCTAAGAGTTGACACTTAATTGATTGTACATAATCAATACAAAAAAAAAAAAAAGGTAAACACTTTGCTACCCAGAAAAACCTAGTCTCCACATCTAGTGTTTTCACAGGGTTACTTCTGATAAGCTTCCAAGGTTCTGATAAGCAAAAGGCCAAAAACTGAATGGGAGGCAGTGGGAAAATGGAAATATTTTGCCATTACACTCTTTTCCATCCCAGCTGCTTCACCTGATGTGATTGTCATTTAATATTAATATGTTGCTACTCCTGTAGAATGTCTCAGTGAGAGTGACCCTCCAAATATGTGTACACAGACTGCAGTTTGCTATCTTAAGTACATGCGGAGAGGGAGTGGACCAGAGCACTATGATATGGAATGCAAATAACGTGCCAAAATCTAGTTTTTTAGTCAAGTGGCCTAAACAGGGTTAACTTAATACACTGTTGGAGGCTTTATAGCAGAATACTGTCTGTTCCCAAAATGATTCCATTACTTGAAACTATCTTCTTGACTGGGTTGGTATATCAGATATAGTTAGTTTGCTAGTAGTTACAGTTAAGTGTAACCCAGTCAGTTCTGTGTTGCTTGTGTGTACTCCCTCCCCAGCTGTGATATTGCCAAGAATTGTCTAGGTCTGTTTGTTTGGGTTTTTTCCCTACATGCAATTATGTCTGGACTCAGAGCTGGAAGCTTTTGCAGACATCATCTGTACTTCCCAGGACTTGGCTTAAGCACAATCTTGAATTTAATAACCAGCTCCAGAACAGAAGCAGATACTCCATAAATCATTTTAATAGAGAAACGGCATATTATAACAATTTATTTTTAGCCTAACTTACTCAGGGATGAGAAAATTTTGAGCATGTATTGTATCATTGCTGCATCTGTATATGAACATATGTACCTTATCACAAATAGCTTCATCTCTACATCTAAATGTTGGTGTCCTACATAAATATTAGCATTTTGCTATTTGTAGAAATAATCCTAAGAATGTACATGGGGGTCCATGGGGGATTAAGAGGGAGCAATTGTTGAAACGTATATCACAATATTATGCAAATCTTTTGTATTTGCATCATAATGTCACACAAAAGTATGTCATGGATTAAACTTGCATTGTCACAATGTATGTGTAGTCATTCTGACAAACTCTTGGCTTGCTTGCTTATTCTTTAGATACTATAAATCTCCAGCCATGTATGAGTTGTTGTTCTGTGATCTATAGGGACTGTCGTGATTTTGGATTTCTGAAGACTTGATTTATGTGTGTGTAGAAGACTGTGCATATTGCTTTGGATCCATATGTTCATACCATACTGGTAATAGGATTATGCACTCCTAATATTAACAAACATAGATAATAACTGTAACAAGGGTGCACAACCTGAGCCAATGGCCTTATGTTGCTGCCGAAACCTTTGAATGTGATCCTGAGAGTCCAGTAGGATCTGGAACAAGCAAGCGTGATTTTAAAATTATGGCATGTCAGTCATGATTTCATTTCACAAAGGACATACTGTAAGTCATATAAATGATGTGATGATGTCATGACACGTGTGTCATTATTTGCCCCACTGTCCTTCTGCAGACACCCACTCCAAAATTTGCCATTTTTCATGTGACAGAAGGAGAGAATTATAGGCAGTAATTACTTTAGTTTTACTTAATTCATTACATTAAATTTATTCTAGTCATCCCCACTTTTTTCTCTTGACATACTTAATTTTTGGACCAATGGCTGAGCCATACCTCTCAAAGACCAAGTGTAGCTCAATGTGAAAATATAGTTGAAAAAGTTTCTGAACTTGAAAAGAATGTATAGGATATCAGCTTGTGGGCAATATAAACTTATACAATTCTGGACAATAAATCTAAACAATCGTGGACATAAAGAATAACAAATTAATTATATTATAATACTGGGCAATCAGTGAATGTCTGTTTAAAAATGAGAGAGCTGTATTATGGGTTCTGGAAAGAGGAAAATAATTTTAACTGATACAATAATGAAACAAAGCAAGGGGATCAGGGATAGTCTGCAAGATTGTTGGTGCATTGAGGCAAGCCAGATAGAAGACCAAAATCCAAATATGGCACAAGAGGCAAAGCAACCAAGACTTGGTTCATCAAAGATATTTGTACCACAGTGGCAAGGTGGTTTTTTTCATTGAAAACAGGACAACAGAATTTACTTTGATAAAGCACTTAATGTTGCCCTGAAGCTTTCTGACTACTACTTGTTACTTCTAAAGCCAGGGGAGGACTCTGCACAGAAACTACACTCAGTCAGAAGCCTTCTCAGGATTTGGGAAGGACACATTGGAGAAAGTGGAGAGATGTATCCTCCAGGATGGCTCACTAAAGCTTGGGCAAGGTGTGTTGGAGGAGGAGAGTGGTGTGCTCTCTGAAGCACTTGTGAAAAATTTACTTGTCAAAGCATGGCTAATCAAAATGATATGGTCATTTTTTTTTCTTCAAGGCAAGGGAGGTGACCTCATTGTTTCATGAAACAGCTACAAGGAAGTGATTTGTTTGAATATTCAAAGAAGCAAAGCATCTCTTTGAAGATATGTACTGTTCTGTGATGCAACATTTATTGTTTCAGGATAGAGACATGCATGCACACACGCATACATACAGATGCAACACATACACGAATGCATGAGTCCCCATCAGTCAGTGTATCGCACATACATCCTACTTGGTGGGATGCAAGCAACAATTTATTAACTAGCAAGGTAGCCTCTATGTTACAGTCAGATCAACAAAGTTTGATCTTAAATGATAATCAGTTAATTCATTCAGATATTTATATTTACATCACAACTCTTTGCTTAGATTGGTCCCCCGCAGGGGGGTGAATGCTATATTTCTAGGGGTGACAGAGGTAAATGAGTCTCAAGGGGACTGTGAGCAAGAAGAAGAAGAAAAAAAAAGTTGAGAACTTCTGGCATAGATGACCAAAAGTGAGGTTGAGACAGGGCAAAGAAGATGAGTTGATGCACAAATTGTCTCATGGTGGTAAAAGGAGTCATCTTCTCTTCTGGGTTATTTAGTTCTCATATATTTGTTTATTTTTCTTTTTATTTATTTTTTCATTTGAAAAGAATTTCTGTTTTTATTGACTCCAAAGCTGAGAGAATGCCATGTTTTATCTTCACTGTTAGCTTGGATTGTTGGCACAAGTTATTATTACAAATGTTATCATCTTTCCTCACAACATTCTGAGGTAGTTCTTGGCTTACATTCCCTTGTCCAATCTTGTTGATTTGGTAGACCCATTTTGTAGGCTGGTCAGCCATGACAAGATTATTCTGTGTCTGTGCTGGTCATCTGAGAACTGATTGGTTCCCTTTGTTATCTACAAGGTAGTTGTCTACAAATTTCTAGGAACCTGGTATTTGTTTTGCTGAGTCTTGATGTTCCAGACTGTTATGTTCTCATTTCTCCATTCTCTGATCTTGTCTTCTGTTAGATTTAAAACCTTTGCCTTCTTTACATACTCAACCTTTCTCCAACCTTCCTCCATCTTGCTTCAAACTATTTCAAGCTTTTCATAGAATTGGAAAGTATTATTTAGGCTATCAACCCTCAATCCCATTCATGGACTAAAATAGCCAGCCGCAGGTTGTGGCTTAGATAGTATGAGTTGCCATTGTATGCAAAGGTGAGCCAACATTCATAATAGTCTTTCTCTTTGTGTTACAGAAAATGCCAGTCAGGAAAATTCCCTGCAAAGCCAATGCCCCATCTGGATCTTTTTTTGCACGAGACAATACAGCAAATTTCTTATCCTGGTGCAGAGATGTGGGAGTGGATGATACTTGTCTGTTTGAATCTGAAGGTTTGGGTATGTATCATCCAGTAACATGAGACACTTTTCATTTATATTACATACCACAGATGTTTTTAATGATTTTCATGAGATGTAATCAGTCTATCGTGAGGTCAAGTTCTGTTTTGAAAAAGTAATTATATTGAAGTGGCATGTAATTAATTCTTTTTTTACAGAACTCAATAATTTATAGTTTCCTTACTTTTGGAATAGTGTGCATTATTTTAAGTGTATAATAATAATTCAGAGTTTTGAAGAAAATAAAGGATATTTCAACAAACAGGTAAAAAAAATTCTTGATTCTGCTCTGATGTATTTTAGATCGTAATCAGAATAAGTCTTCCACACAGTTTTGATGCCCTCAGAGCTTTGCTTGTGGAACCTTACTGATATTTTTAGCTTCTTGACAAATACACTCGCTGAGTAGACCACTCTCTCCAGCTGGCTACTTGGGGATTGCAAAAAATAAAAATTAAAAATGCTGCTGTAACCTCTAATTGTCCCTCAGATGATCTAGAGGGGATGGGGATTGGTGGCAAGGCACAGTGGCATCTTGATTTTAGGAAAGATGGGGTAGCTCTGAGTAGCTAAATGGGACAAGCAGAAGTTCCTTCTGTTGGAAAACAGTCCACCTTATAATTCTAAACGAAACACAGTTTCCTCTGGAACAGCATCTAATCCAGAAATCAACCGTCCCAATTTGCAAAGATTTCTGCAAGCCCTAAGGCATTGTGAGGACATGAAATGCAACAGTGATCTCTGGTTGGTACAGCTGTTGAGTGTAGAAGGGTCTTAGATTGCAATTTGATGCTCATTTACTTAGGAGGGGAATACATCCCCTTGAGATTGTGGGATTTACCTTGCATGATTACACTATATGATTGCTATGCGTGCCAGAAAAACTGAATGACATAGCTGTTGTGTCACTTCAAAACATAGATAATTATTGCATTACTGAATGTTTTTCTCAATAAAAAGATTTTATTTTGAAGTTTTTTCCTTTATCTACCTGTTGTCTGCATGTGGTAGTTTTTTAAAAAAAAATCCGGGGAAGCATTCAGACAGACAACCACCTACCTGTATTTTGAAGTAGTAGAATCCTGGGAGGTCTTTATCGTATTTTCCCCCTAAAGGTTTTGACTCCTAGATCATTTGTCAGTATAAATTATTCAAGAAAGTGAGCAGAAATTCAGACCATGCAATTTATTATGCTTAGGATGTTTCTATTATATCATATCATTTTCCTAATTACTACTAACATTCTGTATCTTATTGATCTGTGTAGTTCTTTGAATGGAACTTCTTACTGAGTCTCAAAAGTCACTCATTTAGATCTTAACTAAAGTAGACACTCGGTTTGGTTTTGGGCTTCAGTTAGATTGTATATACAGTAAGTGGGTGGTTGTATAATTGTGAAGTTTCATTTTATACAAAATAAGAACTGAAACAATTTGCAAACCTTTCGGAAGTACAGTTTTACTAAGGTACTACATTATCCTTTTAAAATTTTAAACTATAATTACTGAAAAAGGATTCCTTTTTACATAGCTCAGTAAAGTATATTTGACTATCATACCAGCAAAATATTTAAATTATATAGAGTATGCCTATCCCTAAATTTGATTACAGTTATTCAAATATGATGAGTAATAACCATATGAGTATGATTCTAAGATTAGGCTTATTCTCTTCCTGTCACTTCCAGTCCCCACCCCCCCCCACCCCCCGATTGGCTTACTGGCCAAAACTGTTCTGCAAGTCCTCAATAACATTTGTAAATAATGGCAAATCAGAAAAAGATCTTCAAGAATCATAAGCATAATAACTGACAAATAACCGCTTGCTTCCTCAAATGATCCTATTTAAAGTATGTCCTGAGTAAATAAGAAAAAGAAGGAATCATATGTAACTGCTTAAATTTATATCTTAATAATAATAAATGAAGATAAGGGCAAATTTACACAGTATCAAATTAAATATCAAGATCAGTCAGTTAGCAATTCCCTCTGCCAACTGTTTAAATTTTTATTTTCATGTTTAGATCATGAACGAACAAACCTTAAACACAAAGTTTAGATTACAGTGGTACCATTGGATAATATCTGCTGGTACTGTTATCCCTTTTATGAGATCATATGGCATGTGTAAAGGGTAGCTGTGCAGCCCTGGGAATATGCTAGGCTGCTTTAAAGGGTTGCAGATAGCTGCTAAAGTCATGATCCTGTGGTCTTTGAAGTTCCTTTTTGCCTTCCAATGGGAAATAGCATACATACCCTCATACCTGTAAATTAATTTCTGAATCACCTGAAGGAGATCCACAGTTTTCATGGTTAAGAGCTACCTCAAGCATGCTTTGTGAAAGATCGATTAACACTTTATTAATTTCTTTTTTCAGTGCAGTCAGGGTGTGTTTGATTATTGAGGAGGGAGATGGAAATCAAGCCTAACATGCCAATAGCATGTTGGTCTGCTTTTCAGATTAATTTGCTTTTAAGCTACATGAAAACACAAAGCCAAGCCTGGCTAATTTTGAAAAGTTAAGCAATGCTGGACCTGGGTAGTTATTGGATAGCAGACCACCAGGGAATTCCAGGACTGTATGTTAGTCAGGGTAGTTTAAAAAAAAAAAAAAATTGGAAGAAAATGGTAAACCATGTTTGTATTGTTGCTTTAAAAATCTATATGGATTTGTGCACAGAGTCCTCAGGGCTTGAGGAAATTTACTTTTTTAAAATTACAAATTTTAAAATTAACAGGTATAAAACTGGTTTGTTGATTGGTATACATAAGCCTTTAAAGCACTGCAGATGTTTTGTTTAATCATGTGTTCTTTTGGTAAAAAAATACATGTAAAACTCCAGTTCTTTTACATCTCCAAAAGATACAAATCAAATGTTGTTTGTGTCCTTGAATTCATATCTACTTGCAACGAGACATGTGATTTTAAAAATGACATACGTATAACCATTTTTAAAAAAATAACAGAATGCAATTACTTTTGTCTTACACTGACTTTACTCCTTGCCATTTTATTCAGAGAAAAGGAGGAATCAAGTGACAGTATTTTTATCTTTGACTCCTCTGTACCAAAAAGGCATAGTTCAGGTGAAACCCTCGTCTTTATAGTATTTTTTTCTCCTTCTCATACTTACAACAGATCTCTTTTGATACAAAATTTAGGACAACTTTTTTGCCTCAAGATTGCATTTCAGCAGAAGATAAAGAGAACGAATTGTTTGTTTGGAAGAGGAATTCAGCTGTTGTGATGGAAGATGAGCCTAAATGAATCAACTGTGCTATCATCAAGAGGCTTCTTTTTCCACCGCTCAAAGGGGTTTTTGAAAATGTGTAACTCATATCTGAGTTGCAAGTGATCTTTTTGTCTTCTTTATCGAACTGCTTTTTCTTACATTTTTGTATATGCGAATATTGTATTGTTTGCATTGTGTTCTTCACTTCCACCATTACTCATGTTTATTAAAACACATACACACACACACCTGTAGTTGTGTTAATTTTTTTTAAGACACTGATATGTTAATAAAACTGCAAAGTTAGCTCCATTATTCCATAAGAAAAAAAATGCAAACTCACAGAATGCTAATTTAGATTTGTAAAAGTGTAAACCACCTTTCAAAACAGTTTTCCTAGGTTGCTTAGAACATTCTAAAATCATGTTAAGCTCTTACTAAGAATTAAATGCAAAGTATACAATAATAAAATCAGCAATCTTTAGAATGAACCAAAGTATTACAAAGCCAGTTACATTTCTGAGTTTCCCAGAAGTCTTCATAGCAAGATGAAGAATCAAATAGAGTTACTTTCATTAACTTTCATTTGGAGCTTCAGATATCTCTTCAGGAGAGTTAATTGATTGTAACCATTTAATTTTAATTAAAAAAAAAGAAAAACCATAAAAAGAACCTATCTGGATCAGACAAAACAACTTACCTTGTCCACTGTCCTATTTCCCATAGTGGCCAATTAGATGCTTCTCCCAAGCCATTTTAAATATTGAATTTTACTAGTTGTGATTGCAAATAGTCGTCATGATTAACAGCTGGATAACTGCAGCATCAGATGCTTCACAGTTCTGAATAGAATATTCAGAAGGTTAATGAAAATGACTTTTGAAGTGTGTGTCCTCCTCCTGTCCCTGAACAGACTTTCTTAAAGATGGTCTTAATTTTACTTCTGCTAACGACTGGTTTTCTACTCCACTTCAGCTACCTAGAAGTGGGAGGGCTATAAATAATTACACAAATAAATACATTTACTAGACCATGGATTTACTGACTTTACAGAATCCCCTTCCTCTCCCCCTTCCTTTCAGCAGATCACCTTCCAATCTGACATTAGGGAAGTATCCACAGACAATGCGTTATGATAGTCCAAAGTAATTTATTGTATTGCTTGCTTTCCATCAGTTCCTGGTCCCAAACAAAACTAAACCTACATATTACTCAGCCATATGACTAGGGCTGGCAGGCAAATCTCCTCACCAGTAATTTGATCACAGATGGTGTACCCAGACAACTGTAGTAAAGCTTTTTTTTTTTTTTTAAGGTAAATCTTGTAATAAACCATTTCAGGATCTGAGGCTATTAATGTACCTGATTGTTTGGAGAAAATAAGCTGTTTTAAAGTGAACATGTGTTCTTTAATTTATATATCAGCTCAGTTATCTCTGCAGGAAGAATAATTTTTAATTCCTTAGTGTTTTTAGGAAGACTGTTACAAAAAATAAAATGAAATAACCAATAGTGTTTAGAATATATTGTCAAAATGGAATTAAGTACATATCTATTTCTCTTCCATAGGGATCTGAGAGAGATTGTATAAGGAGAACTGTAAAACTGTTGTTGAAACTAATGATGGGTGAACTGAGCCCTTCTTTTGTGTATTAAATGAATACCTGAGGACTTCTTTTGTGTACTAAAAATCCCAAATCAAAGGCCTCTTCGTTTAAAAGTTGGAGATCTTATGGCTGCTCTCCAGACAGCTGCTGGCCAGAT